TGCATATGTGTTGCTTCACTGTTACATCATATCATCTCCATATGTGCGAGCAGCACGTCCTGTGATCTCCCTGTGAATCAGAAAATGAATTGCAAGGGCAACACATTGCAAGTACATTTAGATTTGAACTTTATTGGCAGTAAACACAAATAAGGATTTTTGGATTTCTATCAAAGCTGCCTCTGTAGTCAACATGACCCCCCGTCCCCCAAATGTTTTTTAATTTAAACTTAGTGCTGACTCTAGACAGCTAGGCAGAAAGACGCTGATGTGATCAAGCTCTATATATAGAAAACCATCACATGAGAGTCATTTTCACTGCTGAGTCAGCCACACAACTTCACCGTGTTAGGTTCACTTTTCTTGTAAGTAAGCCTGACAGTGAGTCAGCAGATCAGCGCTGACCATGTGGCCACTTCACTTGGAAAATCCTGTTTCAGTGTGAACTTCTTAAATGAGCTTATCAAGCCGCAAGTATTGTCTGGGAGGAAGAGACTCTTTCTACAGCACTTTTTCAACTGAATGTGAAACAGAAACACAATAATGACCTTTTACCATATGTGAAATGTAGTGTACATTCAACGCCAAGCCAAAAGCTTGTGGCGTTAAGTCTACAATGTCTGAATATCTTGATATGAGATGAGAAGGCAATCAAACACCTTTCTGGCTTTCTACAGTCCTTTTTAGACCAAAAAAACCCCAAACAAAACATACACACATACCATGAATCAGTTTGAGCGATAGTTCTTCAGATAAAGATCCCTGTCAGGTCAAGTGTCTAAAAACTCACTCTTCAAATGCTAGTTCCTGGAAGCAGTGTGAACCTGGAAAATACAGGATTAGACACTATCACGCATCCAGCTCTGTCGGGCGTTCCAGTGAAGCACTGTCTGCAAGGTGGAGGGAAATGTTGCGTTTCTGAAGCAGAGCTATTGCATTAGAAACATCAACAGAGCCAGCTTCAAAGGGGTCTGCCTTCACATTGAATCAGGCCCCACTTCCATTAGATTACATGGCCTTACCAAAGTTACATTGCGTTAACGTTTCTTTATGGTTTCTCAAATCCCTCGCTCTGGTTTTGGTTCCCCCTGTGAAGCCACTTCAAACAGCCTCTGCCATGGCATATCCCTTTGTGCTCTAAAACAGCAAATATGTGTCTCTCTAAAATGTTTCAGATGCAAGCTCGCAGTGGTCCCAGAGGCGGAGAGAGCATCGCACACACAAACACATCAGAGGAGCAATGAACAATAGATGAGTGTAAAGGTAAGCCATCTAGCGTGCTGTCAACAGCCGATTCAATTGACTGATGAGTGATGGTCGGTGCAGATGAAGACAGACAGATGAGGAGGAAAAAGGTCAAAAATAGAAAGAGAAAAGCGGAAAAACAGGGAGAAATCCTGCATCAGTAAATCAGTGTGTTAAAAGGAAGGGATTGGACGGAGGGGGGGCTGCAAAAGGTCTAGAAACATATGTTTCAGTTTGTAAATAAAACAGTAAATTGCTATGGATATTGCTTAAATATCTGTGGGCTTTGTACCATGCTTTGCGGAAGTTCCTCGGAAATCATTCTGGGACCGCCTTCTTAAAATGCCAAAGCGACTTCTTAATGTCAAAGCGGCCATCTGGTTCTCGACCAATTCAAGATGTTTTCTTTTCATTTCGTTTTTTTTTCTTCCTGATGCTTCTTTTTTTAGATCAAATACTTCATTTTTGTATGATTAATTCCGCTTTTCGTCAATCGCAGTGGAAAAGCCAGCAAACCCGTAAATCCCCGTTCACCTTCTATCTGGCACTCTAAAGTAAAAGTACTTTTACTTCATTCAAGAAATTGAACACTACAATACCAGTACAATATACATCTTCAACACTTTTACAGTTGTACTGCTTCTTCTATTATGTTAAAGGCCAAGCCTAGGCAACTAATTTTCCCAAGGAGCCACATGAGAAACTGGGACTGTTGTCCCAAGGGCCACGCCAATAAGCTGACTGGTGCTACCCTCCATAACAGTACCACCAATAAGCCTATTGGTGTGGCGAATAAGCTTGTTGGTAGGACTATTGTGGATGGCCACAAAAAAAAGATTATTGGTGGGACTGTTGTGGAGGGCCAGCAGTGTGGCCCTCCACATCAGTCCCAGTTTCTCATTAGGCCCATTGGGAAAAAAAATTTTGCCCACCCTGTTTTGTTTTGTTTTGTTTCCTTTCCTACAGTCACCTGGCTGTTTATATTTTACATACATTGCAAATGTCAAGGTATGTAAAGGTCAAGGAAGTATCAAAATGTGAAATTCCAGCAATATATTTAAACACTCATTCTGCCCCCTAACAATTTTAATACCAGGGTTCTCAAGGTGCAGTCCATGGAGGCAGTCGCAGCCCTTGATAACATTTTATGTGGTCTATGAGCGCAGCAGGACAAGAATGCACTACTGTACATTTGATTTATCTGCAGGTCAAGTCATTCTATGAAACAGCTGTGCAGAATGAGACCAGAGAGTTTCTTCTCTTTCTGTTAGAGCAGACTAAACTTTCCTAACACTGATAAGTACACCTGGTATTAAGGAAATGTTGCAGCCACAGGAGCCACAGTTTGCTAGAAGATAGTATTTAGACAAAGGTGTTTCTCATTAAAATAAATTAGGGCTCCATGCTAAAATGCAACAGAAACTTTAATGCCATTACAAACACCTGTATTTGCTTACCATTTTATGTTAAATCAGGTATATGATTAAAAAAAACCTCTAAAACAGTACAAATTATCAATATGAAGTGCTATCCTCGGAGCAGGCGTAAAAATATTGACTACACTTGATATGTGCAATTTTCTTGTGAGCCCTTCAGTTTCCCCAAAAATGTACTGAGTCATCAAAACTTTCAAAAAACACTGGTTTAATGCTTTAAATAAATGCTCAGAAGCAGACGATATATAAGCTGAAACAGTGCTGTACACATATTTAAAGGCTAGTACAAGTAATTTCTGCACCTACATAATTTCTTGCACCACTTGAAAAATCGTAACTTTGATTTTTGATGCCAATTTTCTCCCAGGATTGACAATTTTGCATTTCACCAACTGGCAGTGCCATCTTGTTCTCAATAGATTATGCAATGGTTTGCATATTTTTCAATTCAAATATTTAAATCAGCCACATCTGACATGTATAGCAATATTTTTTGAGCTGTAGAATCATAATGCATAATATGGCTTAAACTGGATTAATATCACTGCTCAGGGAGCAGTTTTAACTTTTTTTTAAACATGGTTAGTTAAATACAAAAGAATACATCACACTTTGTGAAGTCACCTTATATTTTGCAGCCAAATAACAACAGTGGAGCAAACTGAAATGAAAAAGCAATGTAATTAAAAGTAAATATCCAATAATCTACTAATACTTTCACTTTGCAATAAAACATTTTAAAATGAGGACCAAGTTTTTCTTTCTCTCTATGCATTTTGATGCTAATTGTGTTATAATAATATATGTGTGAACAGACTGTTGACACATCTACAAAAGCTAAATGTGCTCTAACTGTTCACTTTCATGTGCCAGTGTGAACACATGAACAGGTCCAAATTTGCTGTTCTATAACTGAAGTCAGACACTCAAATTCTGACTGTAAGTGTATGCTGAATGCAAAGGAACATCTTTACTTCTTGCCGGTTGCTTGCTATAGATTTAAACAGTCATCTTGTGTTTGCTCTGCAGTGTGTAATTATACAGGATGTTTAGGATATTTGGGTTATTTGAATGTCTAAACTATTGTTTCCAGTCTCTCCACACTCTGCCAGACTGCCAGTCAAGACAACTTCCTCCCTTGATTTGGGTAGAGTCCTGTAATTGAATAAAAAGAGACCCCTCCCTCTCTTTACATACTACACACACACAAACACACACATGCACATTTTACAGGCTGGTGTATAAACTTAATAGGGTGCATTTGGTTCCAAAGCCCCCAGCCCGCTTGATGGAAAGTGAGCTGGATTGTTTTTCAGTTTCTTAATGTCGAAGTTTATAACAGCCAGATAAAAACAACGTTACCATGGTGATTTAACCACAACATCGCAATTACCTTGATGCTGCGAGACTCTCCGGGCTTACAAACAAACCAGTATAATGCAATTAAGATATAAGCACCACAAAAATGTTGGTAAAACGCAGAGGAAGGATGTAGGACAGCAACAAAGTGAAATAATCATGGTGGCTTTTCCAGGATCAAAGTTATTGATAAATATAGTAAATAACCAAGCACCATGCCAAAATTCACTTCTTTTAATCCTCAGCATAGCAGGAGTTCTTTCCTTAATGAGCACTGCAGGATGGAATTAAGGGGACACTTTTTTTTTCTTCCGCTAGATATTTTTCTCCTAACAAATAACTTAATGAGCGAAAGAACACCAAAAAATGATAGCACTGTAAAAATTCGCTAACATATTTTTCACATCAACTTCAAAGTGCTTCTATCAGGCAGCTGCTTTAACAAAATCATATAGCAAAAAAAAAAAAAAAACACCCTGCACCAGCCTCCCCCACCCCCCACCTTTCCTTTGAGGGACAAAATAAAAATGTGGATAAATGGAATAATTGCCCAACTTCAAAGTGCAGGTTATTGCCTGCGTTTACTGTTGCGATTGCAATGCAGTGGGGATGTTTTCTCTTCAGAAGGGTGGCTCGGCTTGGTGGGAGAAGTGCTTCATTCCTGTCAGGGTGCAAATCACATTTTAATGCCTAAAAACACTGACCCTTCTGCCCCGGGCTTAGTCAGAAGAGGAGTGCATGACACTTTCAAACTGATTCCATGATAGTTTCTAATACTCACATTATAAGCTTTGTGATTTTTTTATTTTATTTTATTTTATTTTATTTGATGGGGGGGGGGGGGAATGTTGTACTTTTTAAAGAACAGCAGACATTAAAAATTTTAGAGGAACAGAAAGTGCAAAAGAAACAAAGAAATTCCTGGTCAGAAAAGAGGAAGAGCTCTTGGTCACAGCCATGCACATTTTCAGACTTTATTAACAGCACTCTTAGAGACACTCCTGCACAAACACACACACACCTACATTCAGTCAAATGATACATGCGGATGCACAAAGTTTCCAGACTCACCTTACAATATAAATGTCCATAATCGGGTTTCACATGGATGATATAAAACAAAGTAACTTGATTACTTAAGTGTGCATAACAGTGTCATCACAGCCCAATGAATGCCCGTTTCGCCTTTTTGTCACACAGACAAAAAATAAAATCAAATAAAAAAAATCACTCATACAATAAAAATGCTGGTTCAAAGTTCAGAAACATACAGTACCAATACATTGGTGCTTATTTGGAATTTCACAGGAAAGCCTAAATGATGAAGGATTTCAGGCTTACCTGCCTTCAATAAGGCCTCGACGCACTTTTAAAGCAGTGTGTGAATGTATATCAGCTTTAAATCACTGTACATCAAGGGACCGGTGCTTTGTGATCCGATTTTGTCATTTGATTACTCAATGTACAACCTGTAAGCTAGTAAAAAAAAAAAACCCATCTTAAATAGAAATATCACACAGATGGAACGATAAGAAACGCCCATGAACTGTACATTTATATCTGGAAGAGGGATACCCCCTAGTGGCTGCAGCGTTGAACTGAAGGTTTTCACAGAAGAGTCGGTAAATTTGCAACAAGTTCTTTAACTGCGATGTGGTTAAAAATTTGATCATATTCTAGAAATGTTTTACCAAGAGGACACTGTGTAGATTCAGGGGTGAACGAAAAAGTAAGAAAATAAAATCTATCTGGGCTCGTATAAAACGGAGCTGGATTTATCAGAAAAGTTTAGAAGTCAGCGAAAAATCCTGCTCAGAATTAAAAATGAACCAGTACGTGGTGACGTGGAGACCCTGTTCAAGGTCATGATGCTCTGCATAAAGAAAAGAAAAAAAGCACTGCTGGTTTATTTTTTTACTCCTCCATCAGCTCCACACTGTGAGAGCAAAGTCTGTGCATCTTCTGTAAGATGCAGGACTTTCCCTCAGAAGTCACTGAGGATACCGATGTCCTCAAACTCAGTGCGGTATTGTTCAGCAGTGTGGGTGAGCATGAAGGACCATTTCAGGGTCATGACGCTCCACACACAGGACAGGTAGAAGCTCTGAGGGTCAGTGAAGGCTGCGAAAACAGAGACACACAATTCAATTCAATTTTATTTATATAGAACCAATCCACACAACAGCTCCCTCAGGGCGCTTTGACAATCAAATAACCCCTTGTGAGCAAGCACTTGGGGTTATTAGGAAAATCTCCCTTTAACAGGAAGAGAGAGAGAGAGAGAGAGAGAGAGAGAGAGAGAGAGAGAGA